ATTTTTATTCTATACTATCTGTAATCCTCCAAATTCATCAATTTAGATATGTTCAAAGCATATCCATTAAAAAAAATACAAACTCTTAAGCCATGGGTAGATGAGTAACTATACATTCTTATATAAAGCAAAACTAACTTTGGGTTTTATAACCTGTGGCTCATCATAAACAAACTATATATTTTTATGGTGATAAAAAAATGCATATCCATTCAAGCTTTCATATTGTCATTTATCTTCCCTTTCACATCAATCACCATGTTAAAAATATTTTCAAACATGTTCTTTTTTATACACATGACATCTAGATTATAAAGGAGATTAGTCTTCCTATAAGAAAGCTTTAAAAAATATATCTCGTTTTACCCAATTATAGGTCATACCAAAACCAAGAAATTTTTGCTTTTTATATTAAAAACTAAATATAATGATCTCGTACTATAAGACAATATCATACAATTATTCTTCTAATGGTATCAGTGGTAGAACATCAGGCGTTGTTAATTTCCTTATAATATGAAAAGACTAATCTTCAATGCGTGCTCTAACCAGAAACCACTTCACACGTAGAAAAATCATTAATAGTCCACATCAAAGTTACCTTCATCTGAGAATCATGTTTTCTTGAAACATCATATGTCAAAGTTTTGAATAACCACAACCAATTCAACTCATCAATCGACAATCAAAGACATATATTTATATTCTTATCAAGACTATTAGGATCAAGTATGTCCATAGATAAGAACATGAACTCTAACTTTAAATACATTATTGGTGGAAAATTGTAAATTGTGAGTATCATTGGTTAATAAGAATAGAGTACAACAAATAACCTAAATGGATTGAATCTATTTGTATATAACCAAAGATGTATGTTCTGTGGTTCCATTAAAAAAAAAGAATGCACCCTATTAAACTACTTCTAAGCTTCACTATAAAAAAGGTACGCCATGACTTTATCCATCATATCATATGAATGATGTCATATCATATGTTTAATAGTCTTTGGAGATATGAATAACATTTATAGACTATAAATAATTGGAAAGTATCTCGGTTTTCTATGTGTTACAAGAGTCATTCCTTTATAAGTTTTGCATTTATCTCGAGTATGTCCACAAGTTCTGCGCTTAGTAAAATTTGCATTTTCATAATAGTATCACATACAAATGTTTGGACGCTTTTTGATTTTTTTGGTATCCTAGGCCATTGGGTTTAATCATGAAATTAGCAGCATAAAAGTTCTTTTTTAGTTTATTTTCTTCAGGTAAAATGTTTTTCGCTCATTCAATGATTTTGTCATAATTGGCCTCACTTAACTTATAATATAACTTGATAGTAAACACTTGCACAATGATCGATAATTTATTATTATTTGTGCAACCATCCTATAATAGTTTAATAGAATATTTTAAAAGTTTAAAGAAACTAGTTTCGTCTGTGTTTAGTTCTTCATCTATATTTAAACAGTCACTTGTATAACCCTAATTTATTCCTATTGCATCTATTACCATACTTTTATAAGGATTACTATTATCATCTATAACTTTATGTATATTTTTAGAAATATAAGTTAAGTCAACCATCCTTTAAAATATGGTCTCTTGAGGAACATAAGGTTCTTTATGTGTAAACCAATGCAATTATTTTTTTATTAGCTTTTTTGTGTAGAAGATACTTCGTAACAATGTTTGAATCGAGAAATTTTTTATTTTTACACTTCTTACATGGACATTTAATACCACTTCCACTAATATTTTTTGGATTAAATAGTTCATAATTAATAAAACTCTCAACCTCATTGCAATAATTCATCATTTGTAACCATTCAAGTGAAACTCGATACATCAATGAATAATAAATCCATTACTTAAATGAAACCTATATAAAATATTGATGACAACATGTATTAATTAATAATGTGAACTAAACAAATTATCATTACCTAGATAATTAGCTATTATTGGTTCAATTCAAAATTATTCAGTCTATTTTAATAGTACCCTTTAATTATTATCAATTTTCTTTAAAGTTTTAAATTTCTCCAAATTTACTAAAATTTTTAACTTAGTAATAAAATTAAAAAAATATAAAATGCACTCATTAAATAACTCATTATTTCTTTCGTTATAACACATCTAAATTTCCAAAATTAATTTCATCAAATGAAAAAAATACAAATTTTTTAGAATCTCAAATAAATCCTAATATGTACAAATTATATATTCATGTAATAAATTTCTCTAGCAAAAGGCTATAAAACAAGTAAGCACACAACCAAAGTACATATACTTCATAAAAATACCAATAAAATAACATAAAAAATAGGCTACAATAAAAAGTGGTTAGGTTTTCTTACTTGATGTGGAGAATGTTAAAAAAATTGAAACAAGACATGAATATTGATAGATTGAGTATTGAGATAGTTGAATTTGTGATGACAAGAGCTATATTTGTAACATAACAGAGGGAGGATGTTGTTTTTTGCAAAAAAAAAGAAAAAAGAAAAAAAGAGAAATGAGAGGGGGCAGGAGGTCGTGTTGCTAGTTATAACTTTGATAATACCGATGAATTCCCCAATAGAAATTAACGATAGTAAATTATTATCATTAATTCCATCAGAAATATTGACACATCAAATTTACTGATGGAATTAATAAGGGAATACCTTCTTTTTTTTTCTTTGAATTTCACTATTAATTTTCTTGATATTCATCAATAAAAATTTTTCTGTTAGTTATTACCAATAAAAATAACAAAATCATAAATGACATCATGATTTAGCTTAAGATATTTTTTTCATTAGCATTTGACAAATTTTTTGATAATGAATATAATACAAGTAGCTTGATCATTGGCATGTTCCTTTACAGTAAAATATTTTTAGAAAAAAACTCAATTTAAGTCTTAATATACAATTAAGTCTCAAATCTTTCAATTTTATCAAATTTGCTTTTAGTATAATTAATACCAGACAGTGTCACCATCCCTTCATCCTGTATTAATGTAATTCAGATCTTTATCTTGATGCCTTAAGAGTCAATCACTCGAAGATCGAGCCTTCTCCTACCAAAACAAAACAACAAATTAAATCCGTTTTCTACCCTTTGCAGTTGAACAATGAGCAAAGCAACTCAATCTATTTCTTCGTCGGCACTTAATTGAAACGTCCTCTCTATCTAGCCACTAAGTCAAATGTCGTGGTATTGAAAATCTTGAATTCAAAGTGCTTAACTTCACCGCTAATACTTTGAATTATTGCTTTAATTTAATTTCATATTCATAAAAATTGTTTTTTTGGGATAAAATTCAATATTGTTGAAGCTAATATGAGAAAAAGCTCAAATTGTTGAAGCTAAATTCCATCCCATTTGTATGTGTGAAGTCACCCTAGCTAGCTAGTCCTCATTAATTTCAAAACCAAATAATAATTTGTGGCATTCAAAAGAAGTGAAAGTTTCGAGGAAGCAACAGTCATGCATGACCTTACTTTGCATCATCAGACTAGCAAGATTTCAAAACCCACGTGCGGAACCTCAAAAACTGTCTGGAAACTTACATGCCGCCGGCACAAAGATTTGGTCACTCCGAATCTCCGATTTCCGTGATGGCTGCAAGTCTCTCGTCAAATTTAGAACCATCCACCTCCACTCAGTGGCCAAACGACCGCCTTCAAACACTGTTCATCTTCACGTGTTCTATAAAATAATATCTCCTAGTCGCAGCCTTCACAGCACACACAAACACTTTATCTTTATATGTGAATTTTTTTCTTTTATTTGTTTGACAAGAAAACCCTAAAAGGTGGATTGAATTGTATAATAGATATATATAAGCATCAAATTGTCAACAAAGAGATAAAATACAAACGTGTCACTAAATGTATATGACCATTGCTCCTTGACCCACCAAACACTTCTTCTCTTGACATCCTTTTCTCTCTCTACACCTAAGTATTCGGCGTCCACATACTTCTGAAATAATAATTTATTCCTGTTTTGCATTGTATCGATCACGGTTATTTTTTTAATACACACACATAATATTTTTTTAAAAAAAATTACTTTTCATACATCGATCACGGTTATTTTTTTAATATATATACACACATATAATATATTTTTTTAAAAAAAATTACTTTTCATATCAATATATTAAAACAACTTAAAAACATAAAAAAATTTATTGAAAATAAAAAAAATTATTTATTTAAAAGATATTTTTTCTCCGCGAAAACAAACCGCTATGATTGATCATGAGAACACGCCAGATCCTTTTATTTTTATTCTTTTGCTCAAACTTTGACCCACCCGTCATTAGTCATGGCCATCATATTCTATCTTTTTGTTAGAATGACACATAATGGTCACGAAAAAAGATTAAAAAAATGACATACTTGTAAGCCAGTTCCTGAAAGGTTTCGAGTGAAAGATACCCTAATCGTACACATACTCTCCAAAAATAAAAAAATAAAATAAATAAAAACCCCAGGTTACGTGTCTAAATATAAAAGCCTCAGTTTGTATGCTGCAACGCCATGTGTTTTTTTACTCTGCTTTCCCTCGCCCACCTTCCTCTCTCTTTTTTTTTAAAAAACTCCATCCCGTGCCTAACTTCACTCAACAGAACACCCACGTGTCGTCACGTGATAAATGATTGAACACATCATGTTAAGAATTTTTTGTTGGGACAAGCAAGATTGCTACTACCGTTAAGGTTTCTAGAATGCGATGATGGTGTTGACACGTGTACATTCTATAGATGACTCACCACTGTCCTTTAGAGACGGTTCATGCACCAAAGAGACCACAAGTATCTCTCTCCCTCTCCATAACGTAGTAGTTCCACTTGGATAAGGTCGGCCATTTGATGGAGCACGTGTCGTGCTCTTAACGGTGACAAGCATAAAGTGGACCCCATTAACCCAAACACTAAGACAAGGACGACCGTACTGATCTCCCTCCCGCTCTTCATCCTCCCCTGTATAAATAAGTGCCGTTTCATCTTGTCAGAGAAAAAAGAAAGAAAAGAAAAAAAAAGAAATAGAGAATTCTAGCTCTAGTTCTTCTCTCTAGTCAAAGAAGCAATTGTGTGCTAAGCTGCAATCTGAAAAATGGGAGTGCAAGAAACAGACCCTCTTGCCCAGCTAAGCTTGCCACCGGGTTTTCGGTTTCACCCGACTGATGAAGAGCTATTAGTGCAATATTTATGCAGGAAAGTTGCTGGTCACCATTTCTCGCTGCAGATCATTGGTGAAATTGATTTATACAAGTTTGATCCATGGGTCTTACCAAGTAATTAATAATCTTGCTCTATAATGATGTTCTCTTACTTAAAAGAATCAATTATTAGTTATAGCAATAATAAATTTCTTGGGTTAATCTTCTTAATTTGTTGTTGTTGCCAGGCAAGGCGATATTTGGTGAAAAAGAATGGTACTTCTTTAGTCCTAGAGACCGTAAGTACCCAAATGGATCCCGACCCAATAGGGTTGCCGGGTCTGGGTATTGGAAGGCCACTGGTACTGATAAAATTATCACGACAGACGGACGTAAAGTAGGCATCAAGAAAGCTCTCGTCTTTTACATTGGCAAGGCCCCAAAAGGAACCAAAACTAATTGGATCATGCATGAATACCGCCTTATTGAATCCTCTCGCAAACATGGAAGCACGAAGGTACCAACGAAATAAATTCCATCTGCAGATTAATTTTAATTTGTTTTGATACAAGCCTCAATATTAATTAATGATTTTTGTTAATTTTCGTTGTTGTTACAGTTGGACGAGTGGGTATTGTGTCGGATTTATAAGAAGAAATCAATTGCTGCACAGAAATCCATGTCAGGTGTTTCAAGCAAGGAACCTAGTACTAGTAGTCCATCTTCATCATTCTCTTCCCATTTCGATGATGATGTCCTTGACACGTTGCCGGAGATTGACGACCGCTTCCTTGACTTGCCTCGAACCAGCTCACTCAAACCAAGGCAACATGAAGAGAAAATCAACTTGGCCACTCTGGGCTCAGGGAATTTTGATTGGGCGACTCTTGCTGGGTTCAACTCGGTGCCTCAACTCGTTCAAACACGGCCTGGTGTGAGTTACTCGAACAGTAATGTTCATGATGTGTATGTTCCTTCAATGTCCCAACTATGCCACATGAATTCATCCACGGAGAGGATGGAAAACTTGGTTGAAGAGGAGGTTCAAAGTGGAGTTAGAACTCGGCTAGATAGTGTTGGTAACCCAGTGTTTTTCCAACAAAACTCGAGCGTGAGGCCACAGAGCTTCTCTAACTCATTTGACCCGTATGGGTCAAGGCACTCGATCCAACCGGGTAGTGGGTTCGGGTTTAGTCAGTAAGAAAATGTTAGGGAAGGATTAGGAGTACATTTCTGTAAAGAAACGTACAAAGGGATGCATTTATGTAAATATTTGGATTCTTTGGGGGCTACTTTTGAGTTTAGATTCCAAAAGACAGAAGAAGCTAGGGCGCTGCTTTGTTCAAAAGGCAAGGGAAAATTGCCTTCCCTTTTGGGCTGCTAGAGGATTAGACGCCATGTACACGAAAAAACTTAATAGTATTTTGCAGCACAATTTTCTTTGAACAATGAATTACAAACATTGCGATACCTGGAAAGTAATTAATTGATATGGAAATTAAATTATAGGTCTGAATTCTTTTTATATATATTTTTTAATTATAGTTGTTGGAGCAACCTTATATATATTTTATTCCTTATATATATTTTGAATAATTTTTTAAAATTCTAAAGTTAACGATGAAGTAAACGGTAATGACTTTAAAATATATAGTTTTTAAATTGATAATTTATTTACTAGTTAAGCTACAATCTAGACATATAAATTTTGTTTTCCGATTAATATAAATATTTGGATTAGTTTACTCGTAATTCGATTAATTTTATAAATTTAAAAATTAATAATTATATAAATTTTTATTTTAAAATTAATATTAATAATTTTTAAAAATTAAATTTAAAATCTAACCAGCAACACTGTATTTCTCAAGGTTTTTGAATGGCGATGGTGTGTTTTATGTGGCTGTATGAAACAGCTAGCATGGGGGATGCAAGTACTGACAATGAATTTAGGATGTTGTGGCACGGGCCGTCCATATGTGCAATGTTAGTCAATGATGGTGGTTTTTTGCCTTTTTCTTTTTCTCATTGGGAAAGAGGCAAAATTACTGTTTTATATCATCAGTTAATTGATTGAATGATAACTATTTTACCTTGCATGTATTTTAAATCGAAGAATTATGCAGCTAACTATTTTATATTTAAGAAGGGAACCATGTTTGCAGCCATTTTTTTCCCATTTTCCTAAAACCTTACTTTTAATTTTTATCTAAATTTCTCTTTTTTCTTCTATTAAAGAGTATTTTAGTATAAATAATTTTTTTTTATAAGAATCCAGATAAATATTTATCTTTTAAAAAAAATAAAAATTTAAATTCCCAATTAAATTATCAATTAATCAATAGGATAAGTTAGTCATGTTAAGTGTGTCTGTCTATATATATATATATATATATAATCACCATAATAGTATAGTTATTATTCTGCCAATTCTAAGAAAAATCAATGAAGTAGGTAATATAATATTTTTTGCATGGTTTATCAATTATTATTAAATTAATTAGAAATAATTTAGTTTTTTCTATTTTAAAGATAGTGAAATGACTAACTTATTCTTAAAAAAAACACTTTCCAAGCTGATATCATAAGGTTTTTTGGTATTTTCAGCAAGGTTTTTTTTTTTGTTTTTTTATAATCAAGTTGATTTTATTTAAATATTGTTAAATTTTTTTTATTATTGTCGTATTTTTATTTGCTTGGGCGCAAGCTTGTTAAACCTAATAATTTATTTATTTTTCATTTGTTGCATTCTTGTATATAAATGTATACACACACACACATATATATATATATTAGATTTTTGCATTATCTCTACTTTTTTGGAATTTTAACACAGTTTAATAAAAAAATTAAACAATAATACATGTTATAAAAATATGTAAAACATAGCATAGTTTCAACGCAATAACTATTAAAAATAATAGTTATAAATAATTATTATTGAGAATAATAATTATTTTGCAAGTGATTTCTCAATCAAATTAATTAATACTTTTTTATAATAAAATTAATTAATAATTAAAAAATTCATTTCAAGTTTTTATGAAAATACAATATTTATTAAAAAAAATTTAAAATTTAATGGTCAAGAAAAAACAAATAACAAAAAATACATCATATCTTTGTTTTTCACATACATAGTAACATTAAAAAAAATTTGACAAGATGATTTAGACAAACCTTAAAACACCACCTAATATAATTATAATTTATTAGTGATTATGTCTGATTAATTTAGAGGTAATTAATGCCTGGAATTTTCAAATTAGTAGATTCAATACGTGAAAGTGCTTGAACGGGCCCTCGCCAGGAATCATAATTGTGACTATTATTACGGTGACGTTTGTCTTGTAGTCCCATCATCATATATTCCATTATTTACTTCCCTCTTGAAGTCTGAGGGGAAAAAAAGAGAGAGACAAAAGTAAATGGGGAATTTGTTGAGCAGAATTGAAACATAATTTCTCAGGATTAGAATGATAGAATGCTTATTATTATTATTATTATTATTATTATTATTATTGGGATTGATTATTAATTAGATGACTTCATCAAATACAATGCATCTCATGCCATGCAACTACGGACCCACCCCCTCCGGGATCTCTTCAAGTATGTACACACACACCACCATTACAACGTTAATGGCGGCCAAAGACATGTATCCTAGCCAGGACAAAGAAGGAAGGTGGCTTAGCTTTTTCGAAACCAGGATAATAAGTGGTGGAAATTACTTGATCTATATAGGTGAACGTAGATTTTGACTCCATTTTCTTTGACAACACTAATTAATAAAAGAAAATCATAAACTAGAAGATCGATTTGAAGGCCGCCGCCCATCGTTCTGTCATTAACTGCTTTCTTTCTAGCTTATAATCGATTTTGCATTTTTAGTGATGATGATATATTATGGGAGGGTGATGGATTTGGTTTTTATTAAAAAAAATTAGTTAAATTAATTTTTTTAAATGAAAATAAATTAAAATCGATTTAAATTAACCGATTTCTAATTAGTTTGATTTAATTTTTAGAATAAAAATGGATTCATATTGATTTTGCTTAATTTAACTCAGTTTTGACTCAGTTTTTTTTTTTTTGTTTTAGTTTGATTTTTTTTGTTTGGTTCGATTCTGTTTCGATTTTTTTAGGTTTATAAAGTAAAAATCGAACCAAACCAATTAAATTTTTTTAAATTTTATTTGATTTAATTAATTTTTTTCATAATTTAATTTTTTAGTTTTTTAGTTTTTTTCTCACCCCTGTACCATAAACACATCGTGATAACAGATTAGGCAAATTGATGCGTGTAAAAATTAGAGGAGTCGATTTACATCTTATCCTTTTTGGAGTGTGGAAAGGGTAATTGGTGAGGAAAAACAAAAGAAAACGAAGTTGATGTATAAAAATTGGCAAGGTTTCCGATTCATTGGTCAAATCAAGGGCCAAAAAGCAGACCAGGTACGTTTAAAACTCTATGACAGGCAAACAGTGAAGAAATATGCGATTATCGGGATTTTTCTTTTTTGAAAATTAGAACTCTTTTTTTTTTTAATTAAGAAACTAGGTATCTAAAAAGATACAGGTTTCCGAGTATGATATTTTTTTAATTGTGTTATTTTTTAAAAAATAAAAAAATTATTCATCTTATTTTTCTTAAAACTACACCATGATGGTTATTATGTCTATTTGAAAGTGTAATTATTATTATTTTTTAAATAATTTTTTAAGTTAAAATATAGGGTAATGATATTTTTTTTGTTTTTTAAAATTATTTTTAATATTACTATGTTAAAATAATTTAAACATATTAAAAAAAAATATATATATTATTTTAAAAATATTTTTAAAACACAATGAAAAGGACAGTTGCAAACAGAAAGCATATGGGATCATTCTTCAAGATTCTCAAAGCAATTCCCAGTAACTTGTCCAGTCTTTCAACTAGATATGCATTGACCGTTGATTTGTCCTCCCTTTAATTTTGATTTGAAATTCTCTACTTGCACGTGTAGTCAACCTCCTCGTGGTATCTTCGTCGAAATCGACACATGCTTCCACATATTTAACGGTCCAGGAATCGCTATAGGACATATGACTTAGCCAATCCATTTAAGAATTTTTTTTTTCCATCTACAATATTGAAAAACCCAAAAAAAAACCTCTTTTCAATTTAAAAGCAAAAATTAGTTGCACATGCAAATATTTGACCTACTTTTTTATTTAATTATATGAAAATTAAAATTGATATTCATAAAAAAGATGGAAAATTAAAATAAATATTTCATAATTTTTTAATAATGTGAAAAAAGAAAAAAAATGTATTTTGTTAACCAAAACTTTCTTTCTTATTCATGTGTTTCTTTTATTAGAATTTTTTTTACATGTATTTAAAAATTAAAAAGATGGATGTGCATGTAATATTTGACTTAGTGATGTGTTAGTGACGTGGGTAACTTTTCAATTTTTTTATTTAATTTTGTGGCAATAAAAATAAATATTCATAGTAAAGATAATGATTTAAATAATGTATTTTTTAGTTATGATTCTCTTTTTTTATTGAAGTTTCTTTTGTTAAAAGAATATATCTTTCTTTATTGGGAGGGTGGTTAATTGAATAAAAATGAAGTCATTTAAAGTAACATATAGAACAGAATAATATTGTTATGAAATAAAGAGCAAAAAATGTATTTCTCTTATCAAAACTCCTTCTGTTTTTAATTTTATTTGAGTGTTTTTTTCTTTTTCTTTCAAAAACCATGTCTATGTTATTTAAAAGAATTATTGCTTTTAAATTAAAACTTGTCATAATTCTAAAAATAAACTTTAAATAAAACAAATTGTAAATCAATAATTTCTACGTCAAATATAAAATCTAACAAAAACTGTTTCAAAAAATTAAAATAAAAAATAATTAAATAAATATTTTTTCTTCATTAAATGTTTACAAGGGGTTTAAAAAAAACATTAAACATATTAGATTCATACATAATTATTAAAAAACAATCATTAATATTATCATAAAAGCTACAATATTTTATGAAAATTATGACATAATGAGATAATTATTTAAGTATTATTTTAATAAATTTATTTAAAGTCAATCTTATTATAAAATATTAACAAAATTAAATCTAATTATAAAAATGGCTAGGCCGTGTGCCTAGGTTAGAGAGATAGGCTCGTGCGCTTGGTCATAAAAGGTTCGGGCCATGTGCATATTCTCTTTTTTTTAAAAAAAAAAATCAATTAGCGCAAATGACATTAGATCTCTGATGATTCAAAATCTAAGTTTAAACTTTAAGAACACAAATACATGAACATGCAAATCAAAACAAATAAAAATATATAAAATTATATCAACATAACTTGTAATGATGTAATTGAAAATAAATAAAGTTCAATGACTAAAATGAAAAAAGATAAAAATTTAAGGAGCCAAAATTAGTTAAATCATTATTCATATACAATAG